ACAGAGATACTCGAAGCAGACTGGGATAGTCACAAATGTAGAAGTTAATGGGTCAAAATATCAATAATATGGAAGAAAAGTCTGACATCATGGTGCGTTGGAATTCCCTCTGGCCTTTGTCGACCTAAACTCGTAACTAACCCTCTTCTAGACCAATCTATCCTTCAAAAACCTATTCTTTCCTCCATGGAAAATAAAAGTGGTGCCAAACATGTCTCTTCTCCTTCCACAGCGTTGTCCGTGGCATAGTTTATGACTAAGAAAAAGAAAAGCATGAGTAAACCCATTCTAATGTAGATTCTATCCAAATAATGTACATATATATACATCTATGTAGAAACATTTAGCAGCATTCTCTCGGCGCTCGCTGGGAGATGCAAAGGGCCGACAAGTGCAATATTTTATGAATGAAGTTCCGTTGTAAATAGACTGGCCTGGGTTGGAATGGAGCGGCCTCAAGCGCTGAGTGTGAGTGCAGAAATACAAGTGAAATAATTGGTGTTTGGTACAATGTATCGGCGTGCTATGACCCCCGACCCCTCCCCTCGCTCCCCGTCGCTGATGAACCATTTCAGTGTTGTGTGGGTGACTGTCCCATAGAAAAGAGCTTTAAACACCATGTGTGTGTGTGTGTGCTGAATGACCATGTGACATCACACACCAGTGTACCACGTTTGTTTTGAAATGATAATGAAGAATAAAGAGTTATCTGGGAGACGTGGTGTTGTGTGGTGTGTTCAGACGGACATTTAGGCCTTTGATGTTAGCCAGCTTTATTTGTATGGCACACTTCATAAGATCCTAGATGTTTAGTCATCACAGAACATTCAAAACATAAATGACTATAAATGGTACAACAGTTGAAGACATTGTGAGTGACTGCACCATAAACAAAAGATACACAACAGTAAAAAGATCAAACACATCCCAAACATAAAGTTATTACACTGTTACACCTTATTACACCCTTATTCATGTTAGTATTTCATGTTTATTCAGATTTCTATAACAGAGTGAGCTTTGTTCTGGTGTGTACAGGGACCTGGAGCCAAAGTATTGATGGTGTGAGATCTGGAACCATCAGTGAATGTGAGATGTTTATTGTTTGTATCATTTATCCGTTTTAGTCCCACACCAAAGACACGTACAGTCTACACCTGTCAGACTCTAATGCAGTAAATATGTGCATGTGTCGCTGTCTGTGACAGAGACCAGGAAGAAAGTCTCTCTGGGAATGGTCCACATGTAAGACTCAGGCGCCATCTGGTGGTGAAGGGCCAGATTGAACCATTAAACCATGTGGGAGATGTGTAGTTCCATAAGTGACCTGTGTGTGTTGCAGAAATAATCCAAGACTCAGAAAGTGTTTTTAATATGAAAATAATGATGATGCAGTGGTTTGGGTTCGGGTCAATACCACTGCTGTAGCCACAGACACTGACGTCCTGGTCTCTCCTGGTCCTGTCCTGTCTCTCCTGGTCCTGTCCTGGTCTCTCCTGGTCCTGTCCTGGTCTCTCCTGGTCCTGTCCTGTCTCTCCTGGTCTTGTCCTGGTCTCTCCTGGTCCTGTCCTGTCCTGTCTCTCCTGGTCCTGTCCTGTCTTTCCTGGTCCTGTCCTGGTCTCTCCTGGTCCTGTCCTGTCTCTCCTGGTCCTGTCCTGTCTCTCCTGGTCTTGTCCTGGTCTCTCCTGGTCCTGTCCTGTCTCTCCTGGTCCTGCCCTGGTCTCTCCTGGTCCTGTCCTGGTCTCTCCTGGTCCTGTCCTGGTCTCTCCTGGTCCTGTCCTGGTCTCTCCTAGTCCTGTCCTGTCTCTCCTGGTCCCGTCCTGATTCCCTGTACACAGCCTTCATAAATGTACATTTTTAGGATAAACAAATATTTGTGTAAGTCATTCAGTTCCATAGTCAACAATCACCATCAATGTACAGATATATTGATATTTACTTTCTGCTTTTATGAAGACCTTACAGCGAGTTAAGAAGAAGTATTGTATTGTCCAGCAGGGGGGGCTCTCCTCAGATCCACCACAGACACAGAGGAACCTTCAGACCACAGTCCAGCAGGGGGCGCTCTCCTCAGATCCACCACAGACACAGAGGAACCTTCAGACCTCAGTCCAGCAGGGGGCGCTCTCCTCAGATCCACCACAGACACAGGCAAGTTTATTTGGTTTTTATTTATTGGCATATACCATATATTACAGCACAGACATTATAGACACATTTGCACATATGAACCTACATGAACATTTAAGCATTTACATTGGGTCAGGAGGGGGGACAGGGGGGATTCAGCGTGCGCGAGTGTGTGTGTGTGTGTGTGTGTGTGTGCGTTTGTTTTGTGGACATATGGGGACTTTTGTATGATAACACACCTTCAATATCAGGACCTGAGGAAATGTGGGGACTTTTTTCAGGTCCCCATTTTTCCATGCATACTACAGTGTTGTAGAGGCCCAGAACAAGCTCCACACCAAAAATAAAGCATGTCCCAAAATGTCTACAAATAGTGAAAATGTGTGTCGGGGCCGAAACACTCCGTACCGAAAAGTTTGAAGCGCCTCTCTGGTCGTGCACGGTACTACCTTAACACACTTTTAACACACACACACTTGTCCTCATATGTCACCTATTTTGTCACAAACTTAAATACATTCCCAGAGGTGGGTAGAATAGCCAAAATATTGACTCATGGTAATTTAAAAAGATACTTGAGTAGTGAGTGTGTGTTTGTAAAAAAAAAAAAAAAAAAAAAAACTTTCAGCCAGAAGGGGCCTTTTTGAGTGGAGCTTGCATGTTCTCCTTGTGTCAGTAGATTATCTCCCTGAAAATTTGTCTTAACTCCAGTTGGAAAATCATGTTTAAATTAGAATTTAAAACATCAAAAACAAATATAAAAGTGAGGTGTCAAAAATTACAAACATGTATAAAAATAAATAATTCTACATTAAAGTTATAATGTATTTGTCCACCTACAGAGTTACTCTCCGTGAAAGGAGTAACGATTGATAAATATTTCACTCAGACCTGAAGTGCTTGTTATACTGTAGGTCCTAATATGTCACTCAGACCTGATGTGTGTGTTGCAGGTCCTGATATCTCACTCAGACCTGATGTGTGTGTTGTAGGTCCTGATATCTCACTTAGACCTGATGTGTGTGTTGTAGGTCCTAATACCTCCCTTAGGCTGCGGTCACATGCGCAGCCTAAAGCCCGGTTAAAGCGTGCCAGGGCCCGCTTCGTGGTCTGATCCGGGCTTTAGGTACCATGTGACCGCGGCAAACGGGCCCAGGCTCAATTCCTGTAATCGAGCCCAGGCTCTATTAAAAACTGCGGCCAGGGCCCGTTTCCCAGCACGGATGAGGGGGGGGTCAGTGTGGCGGGGAGTGGGGGGTTGATATCTTGCATCACATTACACGTCTTCCTGTGACACGCATTTTCACACACGTCTCTCCTGCACTTTCTTATATTCTCCGCTTCTGTTAACCCTCTATGCACATGGGTCATTTTGGGGAACTTTCCTCGCCTGGTTTTCTTTGTGTATAATTGTTCATAAAACAGTCATCTTTTGATGCAGAGTCAAGCAGTATACTTTGTTTTTTTCAGTACAACCTGGGGTTTTAGAATATTCATATTGTAAAGCTGTCATATGAATTATATAAAAATTATGGAATCACGAAGACAAAGAAAAAAATCAAATGGAAAATCAATTTAACAAAAATGTATTGAAAAAAACAATGAAATGCTATAAACAACTTTTTACACTGCATAGAAATGTTAGAGATTCAATTTTTTTCCCCATTATCCCCAAGTTTCTAACTATTATACTTTTTACAAAATTCCACTATAAAAGCAAAAAACTCTACTCCTGATGCCCTTCCTGAAGCAGTTTGTCTATAATGCTGGGGTTGCTTCTGTAGCACAGCTGTAAAAAACGTAAAACATAAGAAACTGAGCCAAAAAAAAAAAAAAAAAAATTTATATAATACATATATTTATAAACATCATATACACATAAAGACGATAATAATTACAGTAAAATGACCTTATCAATAATCCGCACTCTTCAGCCGGTTATTGCAATCGCAGCTGTAGTTTCAACTGTGGGAGAACAAGTAAACGCAGAGGAGTGAGACATCTCACTCTCTGACGATCTTTGGCAGTCCCCGTGTGTTTGTATCTCACAGCTGTTTGTACCTCACGGGTCACGCTTTGGACACGGACTTTCAGACAAGCGTAGTTTATCCTCCGTGCATCGCACAGACAAATCAAAACTAGTTTTGGAAAGCCCTGATAATGTACTTCACAGACCCCCCAAAGTGAGGTCGTAGTTAAAAACATGAAAACTGAGGACTTGCCTTTCCCAATGTTTTAGGAGGAAGAAAAAACACTTTCTAGACACTTGATGGCGCTGCGGAGCTATACACTCCATTGAAAAAATTTTAGAACAAAGATTTAAGAAAAAGTTTTGAACCATCAGAGTGGGGGCAATAAGTGAAATTTGCAAAAAAAAATCATGAATAGACCTTTAACTCTTTGAAGGTATATTTAGAATTATATAGTTGGTCACATGTGCAAATGGACACAGATTATTATGTGGGATCACAGCAATTTTACTAAAACAAAGCAAAACATTTGAAAGACAGGTTTATTTGCATCTTTGTATTTTGACTTGTCCCAACATGACAATTACAAAGGACCTAATACAAAGTGCTCTTGAACGGGACTTTAAAACATAACTGCACTTAACATTAAAGCAGGGCGGTCAAACTCATTCCTAAAGCGCCGCAGTGGCTGCAGGTTTTCCATCAGACCAAGCAGGAGCAGAGCAGACTCCTCCATTTCCTCAAACCTTCAGGTTAAGACTGAAATCACTGAGGAAATGGGAGGAGTCTGCTCTGCTCCTGCTTGGTCTGATGGAAAACCTGCAGCCACTGCGGCGCTTTAGGAATGAGTTTGACACAAATACCAGCTACACAAGCTGCCTCTTGAGTCGGATAATAGTATTATACACAAAGTACTTGAGGTCCTTCCAGGTTCTGTTGATGAGGGCTGCAGACTCCTGTGTGAGGCACAGCACACAGAGCCAGGTACTTCCCCATCCTCTTCTCCACGGCTCTCCTCCTCACTCCAGGGTTTCTAGAAGCTTCTGATGGAGACAATAAGACACATAAAGACTTATGTTTATCCTGATGACCAGGTCTGGACCAGGTCTAAACCAGGACTGAACCAGGACTAAACCAGGTCTACCCTAGGTCTAAACACCAGGACTACCCCAGGACTGAACCAGGTCTAAACCAGGTCTAAACCAGGTCTAAACCAGGTCTAAACCAGGACTGAACCAGGCCTAAACCAGGCCTAAACCAGGTCTGAACCAGGACTAAACCAGGACTAAACCAGGACTAAACCAGGACTAAACCAGGACTAAACCAGGACTAAACCAGGACTAAACCAGGACTAAACCAGGACTGCCCTAGGTCTAAACCAGGACTAAACCAGGATCAGTTGTACTCACCATCTGTCCTCTTGGTCCGTTTGTTTTTCTGGGCCTTTGTGGAGGTCGGCTCTAGCTCCTCTTCATCAGACACTTCAGCACACGCTAAGAACACACAGAAGGGTCAGCAAGGACTAAACCAGGTCTGAACCAGGACTGAACCAGGACTAAACCAGGACTAAACCAGGACTAAACCAGGACTAAACCAGGACTAAACCAGGACTGAAACAGGTCTAAACCAGGACTAAACCAGGTCTGAACCAGGACTAAACCAGGACTGAACCAGGACTAAACCAGGACTAAACCAGGACTGAAACAGGTCTAAACCAGGACTAAACCAGGTCTGAACCAGGACTAAACCAGGACTGAACCAGGACTGAACCAGGACTAAACCAGGACTGAACCAGGACTAAACCAGGTCTACCCTAGGTCTAAACTAGGTCTAAACCAGGTCTAGCCTAGGACTAAACCAGGACTAAACCAGGACTAAACCAGGACTGAACCAGGACTGAACCAGGACTAAACCAGGACTGAACCAGGACTGAACCACGTCTAAACCAGGACTAAACCAGGACTGAACCAGGTCTGAACCAGGTCTAAACCAGGTCTAAACCAAGTCTAAACCAGGACTAAACCACGTCTAAACCAGGTCTAAACCAGGACTGAACCAGGTCTAAACCAGGTCTAAACCAGGTCTAAACCAGGTCTAAACCAGGTCTAAACCAGGTCTAAACCAGGTCTAAACCAGGTCTAAACCAGGTCTAAACCAGGTCTAAACCAGGTCTAAACCAGGTCTAAACCAGGTCTAAACCAGGTCTAAACCAGGTCTAAACCAGGTCTAAACCAGGTCTAAACCAGGACTAAACCAGGTCTAAACCAGGACTGGACCAGGACTGGACCAGGACTGGACCAGGACTGGACCAGGACTGAACCAGGACTGGACCAGGACTGACCCAGGACTGAACCAGGACTGAACCAGGTCTACCCTAGGTCTAACCACCAGGACTACCCCAGGACTGAAACAGGTCTAAACCAGGTCTAAACCAGGACTAAACCAGGATCAGTTGTACTCACCATCTAACCTCTTGGTCCGTTTGTTTTTCTGGGCCTTTGTGGAGGTCGGCTCTAGCTCCTCTTCATCAGACACTTCAGCACACGCTAAGAACACACAGAAGGGTCAGCAAGGACTAAACCAGGTCTGAACCAGGACTAAACCAGGTCTAAACCAGGACTGAACCAGGTCTAAACCAGGTCTAAACCAGGCCTAAACCACGTCTAAACCAGGCCTAAACCACGTCTAAACCAGGACTGAACCAGGTCTGAACCAGGACTAAACCAGGACTAAACCAGGTCTGAACCAGGACTGAACCAGGACTAAACCAGGACTAAACCAGGACTAAACCAGGACTAAACCAGGACTAAACCAGGACTAAACCAGGACTAAACCAGGACTAAACCAGGACTAAACCAGGACTGAACCAGGTCTAAACCAGGTCTAAACCAGGCCTAAACCACGTCTAAACCAGGACTGAACCAGGTCTGAACCAGGACTAAACCAGGACTAAACCAGGTCTGAACCAGGACTGAACCAGGACTGAACCAGGACTAAACCAGGACTAAACCAGGACTAAACCAGGACTAAACCAGGACTAAACCAGGACTAAACCAGGACTAAACCAGGACTAAACCAGGACTAAACCAGGACTGAACCAGGACTAAACCAGGACTAAACCAGGTCTAAACCAGGTCTAGCCTAGGTCTAAACCAGGTCTAAACACCAGGACTGAACCAGGTCTAAACCAGGTCTAAACCAAGTCTAAACCAGGTCTAAACCAGGTCTAAACACCAGGACTGAACCAGGTCTGAACCAGGTCTAAACCAGGTCTAAACCAGGTCTAAACCAGGTCTAAACCAAGTCTAAACCAGGTCTAAACCAGGTCTAAACCAGGTCTACCCTAGGTCTAAACACCAGGACTACCCCAGGACTGAAACAGGTCTAAACCAGGTCTAAACCAGGTCTAAACCAGGACTAAACCAGGATCAGTTGTACTCACCATACGTCCTCTTGGTCCGTTTGTTTTTCTGGGCCTTTGTGGAGGTCGGCTCTAGCTCCTCTTCATCAGACACTTCAGCACACGCTAAGAACACACAGAAGGGTCAGCAAGGACTAAACCAGGTCTGAACCAGGACTAAACCAGGTCTAAACCAGGTCTAAACCAGGTCTGAACCAGGACTAAACCAGGACTGAAACAGGTCTAAACCAGGTATGAACCAGGACTGCAGTCATGTGTCTCAGGTGTTAGACTCACCATCAGGAGGCTTGTCCATGGGACCATCAGCCTCATCCTCCAGGTCACTGTGCTGAAGCTCTGTTTGGTCTGTGAACATCATCATGAATCATGCCTTTGATCATATTCAGTGCTGACCCGCTCAGACACAGACCCACAGAACAACGCGCAGACCCAGACCCGCGCATAGACCCAGACCCACGCCGCCATCAAACGAACTTACCGCTGAGCACCACGTTTTGTATTTAAAACACCGGATTTGATACGGAGAAGTTACTTTGGCCGGAGTTATTACAATGAAAAGCACTCACTTTACCCACAGAAATAAGACAGAGGTACTTACCGCATCGGCTCTGCTCTCACGCGCCATCTCTCCGGTTCGTCGCCGTGTGCTCCTCGCGTGGTCCTCGTGTGCACGTGAACTCAGACAGAACTTGCATTCGTTTCACGCATGGCTCATTGTGCGCTCTCATTGGTTAAGATACACAGTGTTGTGATTGGTTAAATCCACCTGCAAGCTGTTTCTTTCTCCCTCAAAAAATATAGTTTTTAACTTATTAATTTTACAATTACAACATTTTTTCAAATGAAACTTGTTCCTGGTGAACTCGTGTTAAAGCCCTTTCCTGTACTGTGTGTGTTAAAACAACACATTTAAACATGTTTAGTTTTAGGCTGTGATACTAAGTGCACAGGGGGCGGGACCGTAGGCTACTCTGATTGGCTGATCCAGAGTGGGCCATCAAAGAGAAACAATGTTTCAATCTGCAGCTGCAGAATCCAAGGCCTGGACTGAGACCTGAACTGAGACCTGGACTGAGACCTGAACTGAGATCTGAACTGAGACCTGAACTGAGACCTGGACTGAGACCTGGACTGAGACCTGAACTGAGACCTGGACTGAGACCTGGACTGAGACCTGAACTGAGACCTGGACTGAGACCTGAACTGAGACCTGGACTGAGACCTGGACTGAGACCTGAACTGAGACCTGGACTGTGACCTGAACTGAGACCTGGACTGAGACCTGAACTGAGACCTGGACTGAGACCTGAACTGAGACCTGAACTGATAAACTTAGAACGTATGTTCAGGGCTGCAGGAGACACATGCGCACAGTCAAAAATATAGTCATACAATCAAACAAAAATACAACACAGTAAAAAAGGCTTTTGGCTGGCATTACATTTGATGAAAAAAATAATCTCAAGCTTCTGTTTGTAGTAGTACCCGTGGTGATCGGTGCACTCGGGGCAGTGACCCCAAAGCTAGAAGAGGTTACAGCAGATCCCCGGAACAACCTCGGACATCTCGGTCCAGAAATGTGCAGTGCTAGGAACAGCAAAGATACTGCGCAGAACCCTCAAGCTCCCAGGACCCGAGCTTAGAGAGGGAGAACCGCCCACGGAGGGCCAGGTGAGTGGACAATTAATATATATATATATATAAATAAATATATATATATTTATATATTCCTAAATAAAACAGCTATAATGTATTCAATTTTAAAATATTGATATATATCTGATAATTGACACAGCCCTAATTACCCGCCCCTGACTCAAAACTGCAGACGAATCACCACAGATTTCAGTCTAGCAATCAAATGAGCCTCCTCCTCTTCAACACAAAACATGGATCATATGAAGTTTCTGAGTGTTAGTGAGAGACACAGTTCCTCCAGCTGAGACACAGTCCATCCAGCTGAGAGACACAGTCCATCCAGAGAGACACAGTCCATCCAGCTGAGAGACACAGTCCATCCAGCTGAGAGACACAGTCCATCCAGCTGAGAGACAGTCCATCCAGCTGAGACACAGTCCATCCAGCTGAGACACAGTCCATCCAGCTGAGAGACAGTCCATCCAGCTGAGACACAGTCCATCCAGCTGAGAGACACAGTCCATCCAGCTGAGAGACACAGTCCATCCAGAGAGACACAGTCCATCCAGCTGAGAGACACAGTCCATCCAGCTGAGACACAGTCCATCCAGCTGAGAGACACAGTCCATCCAGCTGAGACACAGTTCATCCAGCTGAGAGACACAGTCCATCCAGCTGAGAGACACAGTCCATCCAGAGAGACACAGTCCATCCAGCTGAGAGACACAGTCCATCCAGCTGAGAGACACAGTCCATCCAGCTGAGAGACAGTTCCTCCAGCTGAGACACAGTCCATCCAGCTGAGACACAGTCCATCCAGCTGAGAGACAGTCCATCCAGCTGAGACACAGTCCATCCAGCTGAGAGACACAGTCCATCCAGAGAGACACAGTCCATCCAGCTGAGAGACACAGTCCATCCAGCTGAGAGACAGTTCCTCCAGCTGAGACACAGTCCATCCAGCTGAGACACAGTCCAAGATTCAAGATTTCAAGATTCATTTATTTGGCCATGTGCAGTTAAAAAACCACATTGGAATACGTTCGCAAGAAAGGCACTCCGTGTGCACCGACAGAACAAAAGCACGACACAATGCAATACAAAACACACATACACTGAACATAAAACAATAAAAAAACAGCTGACACTGTGGCACCGATCAACAAAACAATACAAGGGGTAAAAGCAGTTTAAAAGCAGGTAAAAGCAGAAATTAAAATGCTCTGTTTAGGCACCTAACAGCCTGTGGGAAGAAGCTGTTAGCATAGTGAGATGTCTTGCATCTCAGTGACCGATATCTTCTGCCAGAGGGAAGAAGCTGGAACATGGCTTTCCCAGGGTGGCCAGAAGAGTCATTGATGATTTTAAGAGCTTTGTTTAAAAGTCTGGATCTGTAAAGAACCTCCAGAACAGGAAGCTCACAGCCCACGGTCCTCTTTGCAGAGCGGAGCACCTTGTTTAAAGCTCTCTTTTCTTTAACTGTGATGTTTCCAAACCACACAGACACAGAACCAACAAGTAAACTCTCAATGGTGCAGCGATAAAAGTTAAGCAGAATCTTAGAGTTAGTGGTAAATTCTCTAAGTTTCCGCAAAAAGAAGAGCCGCTGACGAGCTTTCTTAACAACCCGGTCAGTGTTTTTAACCCATTTCAGGTTAGACAGAGTTAAACCCAGGAACTTGCTCCTCTACGATCTGCACCTGGGAGTTGTCAATAACAACAGGAGTGTGAGAACTGCTATGACTGAAGTCAAAGACAAGTTCACATGTTTTTGCAGTGTTCAGCTGGAGATTGTTTACTTTACTCCACTGAAAAACAGTCCATCCAGCTGAGAGACACAGTCCACCCAGCTGAGACACAGTCCATCCAGCTGAGAGACACAGTCCATCCAGCTGAGAGACAGTCCATCCAGCTGAGACACAGTCCATCCAGCTGAGAGACACAGTCCATCCAGAGAGACACAGTCCATCCAGCTGAGAGACACAGTCCATCCAGCTGAGAGACAGTTCCTCCAGCTGAGACACAGTCCATCCAGCTGAGACACAGTCCATCCAGCTGAGAGACACAGTCCATCCAGCTGAGAGACAGTTCCTCCAGCTGAGACACAGTCCATCCAGCTGAGAGACACAGTCCATCCAGCTGAGAGACACAGTCCATCCAGCTGAGAGACAGTTCCTCCAGCTGAGACACAGTCCATCCAGCTGAGAGACAGTCCATCCAGCTGAGACACAGTCCATCCAGCTGAGAGACACAGTTCCTCCAGCTGAGACACAGTCCATCCAGCTGAGAGACAGTCCATCCAGCTGAGAGACAGTCCATCCAGCTGAGAGACACAGTCCATCCAGCTGAGAGACACAGTTCCTCCAGCTGAGACACAGTCCATCCAGCTGAGAGACACAGTCCATCCAGCTGAGAGACAGTTCCTCCAGCTGAGACACAGTCCATCCAGCTGAGACACAGTCCATCCAGCTGAGAGACACAGTCCATCCAGAGAGACACAGTCCATCCAGCTGAGAGACACAGTCCATCCAGCTGAGAGACACAGTCCATCCAGCTGAGAGACACAGTCCATCCAGCTGAGAGACAGTCCATCCAGCTGAGACACAGTCCATCCAGCTGAGACACAGTCCATCCAGCTGAGAGACAGTCCATCCAGCTGAGACACAGTCCATCCAGCTGAGAGACACAGTCCATCCAGCTGAGAGACAGTTCCTCCAGCTGAGACACAGTCCATCCAGCTGAGAGACAGCCCATCCAGCTGAGACACAGTCCATCCAGCTGAGAGACACAGTTCCTCCAGCTGAGACACAGTCCATCCAGCTGAGAGACACAGTCCATCCAGCTGAGAGACAGTTCCTCCAGCTGAGACACAGTCCATCCAGCTGAGAGACACAGTCCATCCAGCTGAGACACAGTCCATCCAGCTGAGAGACACAGTCCATCCAGCTGAGAGACACAGTCCATCCAGCTGAGAGACACAGTCCATCCAGCTGAGACACAGTCCATCCAGCTGAGAGACACAGTCCATCCAGCTGAGAGACACAGTCCATCCAGCTGAGAGACACAGTCCATCCAGCTGAGAGACACAGTCCATCCAGCTGAGAGACACAGTCCATCCAGCTGAGAGACACAGTCCATCCAGCTGAGAGACAGTCCTCCAGCTGAGACACAGTCCATCCAGCTGAGACACAGTCCATCCAGCTGAGAGACACAGTCCATCCAGAGAGACACAGTCCATCCAGCTGAGAGACACAGTCCATCCAGCTGAGAGACACAGTCCATCCAGCTGAGACACAGTCCATCCAGCTGAGACACAGTCCATCCAGCTGAGAGACACAGTCCATCCAGCTGAGACACAGTCCATCCAGCTGAGAGACAGTTCCTCCAGCTGAGAGACACAGTCCATCCAGCTGAGACACAGTCCATCCAGCTAAGAGACACAGTCCATCCAGAGAGACACAGTCCACCCAGCTGAGACACAGTCCATCCAGCTGAGAGACACAGTCCATCCAGCTGAGAGACAGTCCATCCAGCTGAGACACAGTCCATCCAGCTGAGAGACACAGTCCATCCAGAGAGACACAGTCCATCCAGAGAGACACAGTCCATCCAGCTGAGAGACACAGTCCATCCAGCTGAGAGACAGTTCCTCCAGCTGAGACACAGTCCATCCAGCTGAGACACAGTCCATCCAGCTGAGAGACAGCAGTCCATCCAGCTGAGAGACAGTTCCTCCAGCTGAGACACAGTCCATCCAGCTGAGACACAGTCCATCCAGCTGAGAGACACAGTCCATCCAGCTGAGAGACACAGTCCATCCAGCTGAGACACAGTGCATCCAGCTGAGAGACACAGTCCATCCAGCTGAGAGACACAGTCCATCCAGCTGAGAGACACAGTCCATCCAGCTGAGAGACACAGTCCATCCAGCTGAGAGACACAGTCCATCCAGCTGAGACACAGTCCATCCAGCTGAGAGAACACAGTCCATCCAGACACAGTCCATCCAGCTGAGAGACACAGTCCACATATCCTCCCCTATTCCCATACATATCTCTCCCTCTTCCTCCTCTCTTCCATACAACCTTTATCTCCATAATCCCTCTACTATGACCCCTTCCCACATCTTCTACATACAACCATCATCTACTACCACCCTATATCCAATACATACTCCTTTCTCTACTCTATACAATCTCTCAATATCCAATATATCCTCCCTCATACACCTATCATCCCCTACAACTCTCATCTTACCCCTACCCCACTCCTTATCTGCCTCCCTACCATCATCTAACTCTACACTTATCTTCACCTTAACCTCATATCTCCCCATTCAACCTCTCTCCCTACCACCTCATCTCCACCTTCCTACTATCTCCTCCCCTACCTACCCCTATCTAATCCCCTACACCTCATCTAGCGCTTCAACCATTTCTCTAACTCACGACTTCCATTTATGTCTACCCAGAACCCACTATTTTATTTTATCATATCTTTCCCCTTTTTCTACCTTTACACTTTTTTTGTTTTATTGTATTTTTGTTTTTTTTCTATTTTTTGAGAGACACAGTCCCTCAGCTGAGACACAGTCCATCCGCGCTGAGCACAGTCATTCATCTGAGAGACACGTCCATCCAGCTGAGAGACAGTCATCAGTGAGAGACTACTGTCCTATCCAGCTGAGAGGGACACAGTCCATACACAGCTGAGAGAAGTCCGCAATCCAGTGAGCGACACAGTCCATCAGCTGAAAGACGTTCCTATTCAGCCTGAGAAGCACAGTCAATCCAGTGAGACACAGTTCCATGCTGTGAGAGACCTAAGTCCATCCAGTGATGAGGACATCATCCCTAGAGACACAGGTCCATCAGTGAGCACAGTCATCAGCTGAGATGACCACACACGTTTTCTCCTCCCCCTCCTTTTGCAATGTTTTTTTATCCTATCCTCACTACTATCTACTATGTCGTCACGCCACACACAACATTCTCATCCAGTCCTGGAGACACAGTCCGATCAGTCTGAGAGACACAGTCAATCCAGAATGAGACACTGTTCCATCCAGCTGAAGAGACACAGTCCATCCAGCTGAGAGACACAGTTCCATCGCTGAGAGACAGTCCATCCTATCCCTCGCCCCCTTTGCTCCAGATTCACCTCCACCCCCCCCCCCCTCTAGCTGAAGAGACCACAGTTCATGCCAGAGCTGAGAGAGACTGCAGTCCTCAGTGAGAGACGAGTCATCAGCTGAGAAGACACAGGCATCCGCTGAGAGACACAGTCATAGAGAGACACAGGTCCATCAGTGAAGACAGTCCATCAGCTGAGAGACAGATTCCATCGCCAGAGAGACTAGACATTCACAGCCGCAGCTGGGACAAGGTCCATCCAGCTGAGAGAACACAGTCCATCCAGTGAGATGACACGAGTCAGCAGTGAGGGACACAGTCCTGTCAGCTGATGAGACCCCAGTCATCCAGCTGCAGATGACACAGTCATCCAGCTGAGAGACACAGTCTTCGTGAGAGATTAGACATAGAGTCATCAGCTGAGATCACATGATCCCATCCAAGCTGAGAGACACAGCCATCAGCTGAGGAAGACCAGTCCGCATCTCGAGAGACACAGTCATGTCCAGCGTGAGCAGACACTAGTCATCTCATGATGAGAGACAGTCCATCCTGCTGAGACACATATCATCAAGCTGAGATCACAGTCCATCCGTCTGAGACCCGTCTCATCCCGTCTGGAGAGACAGTCCTATCCCGTGAGTGACACGTCCATCCAGTCTGAGAGACACAGTCATCAAGTGAGCACCAGTCATCCAGCATGAGAGTTGCACAGTCATCCCGCTGAGCAGACACGTCATCAGAGAGACACAGCCATTCCAGCTGAGAGAGATGTTCCATCTCTAGCTGACGAGGCACAGCTCAGATCAGCTGTAAGAGGACACAGTCCATCCAGGTGAGAGTGCAGTTTCCTCGCAGCTTAGAAGAGAGACACCGTCCATCCCGCTGAGACACAGTCCATCAGAGCGACACAGTCCAATCAGAAGAGATCACAAGTCCATCAGCTGAGAGACAAGTTCCTCCAGCTGAGCCACAGTCTCAGCCAATAAACTCTTTCTGCAAAGTCGTTCAGAGCTGAGGTGCTGGTTGAGGGAGGCCAACAGAGACATAATCATCCGCAAACAAGCAGAGACGATATCCTGTGGTCCCCAAAACTGGACCCCATCTGGCCACTTGCTCTTTGTCCCAAACGGTCCGTGACTCTGGGTTCCAAAACGGCCACCCGCTCCTTGGTACTATGACCACGCGCGTTTATGGTCGGTGAGCTCGGTAGTATGACCTCGCGCGTTCGTTATGGTCCTGCGCTGGTACTATGACCACGCGCGTCTATTGGTCCTCGCTCAGGGTACATGACCCACGCGCGTCTATGTCCTGCCTACGGTACATGTCACGGGTTGTATGGTCCACGTCGGTACATGAGTGTCACGCGCGTCTATGAGTCCTACGTCTGCGGTACATGACCACGCGCGTCTATGTTTGTCCACGCTCGGTGTACATGACCACGCGCGTCTATGGTCTATTGACGCTCGGTACATGGACCACTGCGCGTCTATGTCCTCGCGCGGTAATGAACTCGCGGTTATGGTCTCGCTCGGGTACTATGACCACGCGCGTCGTTATGGTCCGGCTTGGTTGCATGACCACAGCGCGTTTCTATTGGTCCTGTCTCGGTACATGGACCTGAGCGCGTGGTCTATTAGGTCTCCTTGTTTTTGGCTCGGTACATACTGACTGTCGCTGCGTCTATGGTCCGACGCTCGGTACATGACCACGGCGTTCTAGTGGTCCGCGCCTCGGTACGATGACCACGCGCGTCTTGGTCCAGACGTTCACGGTAACATGGGTCCACGTGCGTCTATGCGATCGTGCTGGAGTACATGAACCGACCGCGCGTCTTAGGTTGTACCGCGCTCGGTACATGGACCACTTGTGCGTCTATACTGGTCAGTGCTGGGTACATGACCACGCGTCGTCTAGGTCCGCGCCTGCTGGTACAGACCACCCGTATTCTATGGTCGTCTGGTCTTACGTCTATTGGTACTGATGGACCACGCGCCATCCTAATGGTCACGCTCGGTACATGACCACGCGCTTCTATGTTCGCGCTGGGTACATGAACACGCGCGTCTATGGTCCGCGCTGGTTACAGCCTACATATATAATTAGTACAAATTATAATTTCTTTTTTTTATCATTTTAACCTTCTACCTTAATTTCTACTTGGATAATGACACAGCGAGTTTCTATGAGTCCGCGCAGGGTACATGACACGCGCGTTATGGTCTGTTCGCTCGGTACATGACCTATCCTAGCTTCTATATTTCCTAAAACTTAATCCGGTAATTGACTCACGTTGGTCTTTTATGTTGTTTCCGCGCTCCTTGGAATACATGAGCTCTTTACGTCGCTGTTCTTATGGTCTCGCTCTGGATACCTGACCAACGTGCGACTTATGTGCCTGCGCGCGTAGATTGACCACGCGCGTCGCTATGGTCCACGCTCGGTACATGACCGCGTGTCTATGAGTCCGCGCTCGGTTACATGTACACGATGCGTCTATGACGTTCCTCGCTCGGTACGATGCACACGCGCGTCTAATGGTCGTTCGCTCGGTTACATCGACCACGCGGCTCTATGGTCTCGCTTGGTACAATGAGACCACGTGCGCGCTCGTATGTGTCCTCGCCTCGGTGCCATGACCTAGTCGCGGTCTATGGTCCTCGCTTGGTACATGACCATGCGCGTCTTATTGGCTCTTGCTCTGGACATGTACCACGGCGATCTAGGGTCTTGCGTCGGTGCGTACATGAGCACGCGGCGTCCTAATGCCGTCGCGAATCTGGTACATGATCTACGCAGCGTTCTGATGGTCGAGCTTCGGATACATGTACA